TTAAAATTTACTCACTAGAATTCAAAAGATACTCCTTTACTACTGACGAAAAGTCAAATTAAGGCTGTAAGAAGAATGGTATTTAGTATAATAAAGAAATCCATGGGTGTACGCAAGTTGGATAATRTAGGAAAGCAGGCGTACGAAGTTGATYTGCGTTCTGTAGTGATATGGGGCATTAGAGAGATGAGGCTTTTTGGTCAAGACAAAGAAGAAATGGAATTCAACATAAAGCTCGATGGGCGAACATTGGGGGGTAATTAACTTGTCTATAGATTATACACTGTTAATAAAACTAATCGGCTGTTTATAAAGTTCATTAAAAATCGTTCATTAAAAATCATTAAAAATCTCTTTAATTATTATATGATTAGGAAGAGACCAAGTCCTTATCTGGTTAGTGCCAATGAGCCACAAAGGATCAACGCAAAGCTCCAAATCAGTCTATCCGATAGCCATAGCCAACTGTCAAGAGTCGAGGTAAGTTATAACACTAAATGTGTATCTATACTTTACTGCTTTGCTACAGTATGTCCATTAAGATAGTGAAAGTTATAGTATRACGTAAAGAGCCATCCTGTTATTTACTTGTGAATGGTTTTCTTGTAGGGAAGAAATAGAAGCACTCTTAGAGACTCTAAATGTCCAAAAAAACGCTTTGAAATTGAAGAAAATAAATGTTGACGGCAAGCAATACAAAATMAATTTCACAGGTTTGTTTCGCTTTTTTGTGAATGTTCGAACGCACTTAATCCGTCCAATGTAGCAAACTTCTTTGCAGTATTTTGAAGAAAGAACAATGGTGATCTAAAGGGTGTTTGATTACAAATTTAGTRCAAATTCCTCTAGTACAAATTTTTATGATAAAATTTCGCGGATTAAATGCGATCACTAATATTGCTTGCTATAATGTAGCCAATGACGACGCTATAATACCATGAAATCGTTACTAAGTTACTGCTAAATTGTAATAAATTATCGAATTTCTTTATTATCTGATGTACTCTATGTATTACACACTATTAAGCACTATTTRATTAGAATTGGAAATAGTGCAAAATGTATTATTAATTGACACATTATAAATGTTTCGCGGAAATGCTCTTTTGAGTCTACTGCAGATAGGAAATATGCTTCCCTTTAATGTGCTAGCGATAACATGATTGCATTGTATGTTTTTACAGTCACTGCAGATTATAAAGCACTCAGTTTGTTAATGAAAAAGAAGGGCTGTGAGGATGAAACCTGGAGATTAGGYGGACGAGGCTTGGATACTGAATTTTGCATATATTGCTTGGCTATAAGGGTACGTTACAGCAAACTTTTGATCCAAGTTCAAGTTCTATTATTGATTCCTAAAGTTTGGCTATAAGGGTACGTTACAGCAAACTTTTGATCCAAGTTCAAGTTCTATTATTGATTCCTAAAGTTCGGGTTATAAAAAAACACTCCCTTTTTGATGTGATCGCTTAGCATGGGCTATTTGTAGAACCCCAATAATGTGCCCAGAGAAAAGCACGCAAGCAAATTCTCTATGCGGTCTTGTTGATATTTGCGACCGAAAGCAACTAYGGTTACAGCTCCAGTGATGCAATATCACTCAGTGTCTGACTGTGAAAATTAGCAGTTATTTCAATACATGTGATCTACTATTGAACACCATTCTGCAGGGTTGTGCATGCAAAATTACTGACGACGATGGTGCTTGTGTTGGTTGCTTAAAGGACTGTTTCAACAGAAGCAAGGCAAATATTGGGAGGTAAATATNCCATAATCTCTACAGAACTGTTTCATAAGTTGACTATGTCGACTACACTTGTCAGGAGATTGATTGACATTCAACAAGTATGTTATCTGATATGTATTTGAAAATGCAAAACCTCCTCTTTCAGACCAAGGTCATTAAATGTGCCAGGAAGTGATTTGGAAAATGTTTTATTATTGAGAAGCCCAGAGGATGCTAATAAAATAGGTATTTTTTAAGTCACTTCATTCATTTTAATTGATGCACAGAATGATAAATATCATTGAATGTGTTTACTTTTAGCTGAAGTTGGTCCTGGTAAAAAAGCTGTCATCATTGGCTCGTCATTCATTGGTAAAGAGGAATTCTAAGTTGTATKTTTTGATACGCCCTGAAATTGAGTCAGAAAATATTCCGATAAGTATGGCAACAACGAATGACTCAAACCACCTCCGTTAAGAGAAATGATACAACATTGCCAAGCTAGTTAAWACATGTGATCTGCGTCTGTCATTTTTCTTTTGGTGCATTTTCTGTGCCCTACTACAAGCAGTCATACATATGGTGCAAACTATTATATTTGAAGGGAAATTCAGCCTGTTGTCTTTGAAAAAATAATATTATTTTACATTGACCAGATCTAGATCAAAAGAAATAGCTGTTATGTTTCACAATATGATATTGATATAAATTATATCCCTTTAATCCAAGCTATACTTTCGAAGGCTTCAAGCTCCATGTAATAAAATAATATTCCATTATAATTTTAGGCATGGAATTAGCTGCTTTCTTRGTTGGGAAAGCAACATCAGTAACAGTGGTGGGAAGATCAGAGATTCCTTTTGCTAATGTCCTTGGTAAAGATATTGGTCGACTTTTAAAGAAAGTATGTCATCTTGAATCTTACATTTCACTTGAGAACAACAAGCACATTTTACAGAGAACACAGCACAGTCATTGCACAAAGTGGTCTGCTTCATACTCGTGGAAATTTTGCTCTGTCTATGGAGTGTACAGTGAAGTGTTTTGGGTTTTAAATTGCTATGAAAATTTTGTTTTATGTCAGGCTGCTGATTGTTGTCAATATTCATTAATTATGTATTTAATATTTTTATTTATCTATTTATAATATTATCTCATATTACGATGATCAATATTTTCAGATGCATGAAGATAAAGGTGTTAAGTTCATACATGGTCAAACTGCTAAAGAATTCAAAGGTCAAGGAGGAAAGGTAATAAACAAACTAGAAATGAGCAACACAGACATGGGGCTAGAGGACTATATAACCTTGATAAATTCTCCTTTTTCTACACTTATAAGTATAGGCCTTCATTACATTATCTTAAACATCACAATTTGCACATCTCTCTCTGTCTTRTCCATAGCTTAGTTCTGTGGTTTTGACTGATGGCACAGAATTAGAAGCAGATRTATGCCTTCAAGGAGTTGGTATGTGTCCATGGCAGTAACATTGTATCCATTCAATATTTCCAAATACTTGTGTGTATCGTAAAGTCATTATTGACTGCATGTTTTTGTTGTCTTCTTTGCTTTGGGTACTAGGCGTAAAACCATCAACAGACTTCCTGTCAAACAGTGGAGTTCCATTGAACAGTCAAGGCAGCATTGTAGTCAATAAGGTAAGCACTATCCATTTCTGCTCATTAGATCTCACCAGTTTACTAGAAACACTGTGCTGATGGTAAGTAATACAGGCCAAAACAGTGAAGTTCTGTTGTTCATTGTTTCTAATTTAATAACTGGCCATTTTTCATTCATCACTTGCTCATAGGGTGTACTGACATATCCGTTGCTAGAAAAATTCAGTAGAACTTTCTCTAAAATGACAAACAAAAGTAAAATCGCTTTCATATTGAGTATTAACCCTTCCCAAACAAAAATAACACATTCTATGATGTCATTGTATGATGTCATCACGTGACGTCATTAATACGAAAAAATGCTATAATTTCATCAAGCAAAGTATAATAAACGATAATTTAAAATGGATGAAATTAATCTTTAGGTTTAAGTCCGTAAAGCCAAGAATGCGTTTTTAGAATGATTACCAAATAAGCTTTTTACGATTTTTTAAATGCCACAAATAAGCGAAAAATGCCAATAACTTTCGTATTTTTTAATTTTTTCGCCAAACCCATGCTTGGTTCTGAAGAGGAGGCTGTGAAGAACATAAATATTGAAAAAACACGTCCATTTGATTGATGTTTCGCACCGAAGATTATATTTTTTAAATGATACCATACATTTTATGTAAACAAAAACCTTACCACCGGAAGTAAAAATTTTCCCGCCATGAAAACGCGTGAGCACTCACTTCTCCGATTGGCTAGCATCGGCTAGCATAGCAACCAGGTCGTCTAGAAACGGATACATCAGTACACCCTCAATAGGCTCACTTTTTGATTATGGATATCCTTGAAGTGAAAGGTTTATTGCTAGCTATTTTCTGTGYATTTTATAGTACATGGAAGCATGTGATGGAGTTTATGCTGCAGGAGATATTGCACACTTTCCTCTCAAAATGCTT